CTGATTTCCTCTTTAACAGTGAAATGCCATAGTAAAAAATATTGAACAGTAGACACTATACACCCTTATTGTTACTATGAGAAGTTATTCCGTTTATTTTCTAAAATTTTATATCAAATATTCGCATGGAATTTGGCTCAAACACAATAGATATGGAAACTATAAAAGTATAAATAGTCCACAGGGACTATGGGAAAGTATAAATAGTCCATAGAATTATTGTGAAATATAAGCGAGACAAGGAATGTCAAGTGCTTAACACTGCACTTAGAATGTGGTAGGTACTCAATAAGTGTTAGATATGTTACTAACATCAGTATTAACATCATCATTGTTAACATCATTATCATAAGGCTTTCCTAAAATGATTTAAAAATTGAGGCTTTCCAAAGGCAAAATTATAGTTCGTTTATTTTAAAAGTTATAAAAATAACTGCACAAAATGATAAAAATCTAGATCACAGAAATGCTTGAAGGAAAGTTGAAATTTTTCTGTAAGTAAATGTATGTCCCATCTTCTGCCTAGATGCAGACAACAGGCATATTATCCTAGAATGAATATATGAGAGATGAAATGTCTACTGACCTAATTTCTGTAGCTATTGTATCTGTTTCTTATAGCCACTGTAACAAACCTCCACAAACTTAGTATTATAGCTTAAAATAACAAAATATATTTTCTGACAGTTATTTGGATCAAAAGTTTAAAAGACATTTCACAGGGCTAAAATTAAGGTGTTAGCAGGGCTGGTTACTTCTGGAGGCTCTAAATGAGAATCTAGGCCTGGCATGGTGGCTCACGTCTGTAATTCCAGCACTTTGGGAGGCTGAGGCAGGTGAATCACCTGAGGTGAGGAGTTCAAGACAAGACAGGCCAACATGGTGAAACCCCATCTCTATTAAAAACACAAAAAATTAGCTGGGCATGGTGGTGCAGGCCTGTAATCCCAACTACTCAGCAGGCTGAGGTAGGAGAATTGCTTGAATCCAGGAGGTGGAGGTTGCAGTGAGCCAAGATGGCATCACAGCACTCCAGCCTGGGTAACAGAGCAAGACAATATAAGTAAATATATAAATAAATAAAAATAGAATAGAATCTGTTCCCTGCCTTTTTCAACTTCAAGGGGCCACCTGCATTCCTTGGCTCATAGCCTCTTCCTCCACCTTCAAAGCTAGCAATGTAACATCTTCAAATCTCTGCTTTCCTCATCACATCACACTATAAGTACCTTCATAATTACACTGGGCATGCATTGATAATCCAGGATAATCTCCCATAAAATCCTTTAGTTAACAACATATGTCCCTTTTGTTACATACAGAGACATACTCACAGGCTGTAGATATTAGAATTTGGACATTTGGGGAGGAGCATTATGCTGTCTATCACAGTTCATCCTCTGGACACCAAATAATCACATTCTTCCACATGTAAAATCCATTCATGCCATCTCAACATCCCATAAATCTTAACCCATTACACAACATCAACTTAAAACTCAAAATCTCAAAAATTCAAAAGTCCCAAATCTCCTCATATAAATCAAGTATGAGTCAGACGCATCTGTGAATCTGTGAAACTGGAATAAAAAGTTATTTGCTCCTAAAATTCAATGATATGACAAGTGTAGGGGAACAGTTATAGATATCCCCAACCAAAGAGAGAGAAATGAAAGATAAAAAGTGAGTCAACAATCCGAAGCAATTCAGAATTGCAATTGGGTAAACTTCATTAGGTTTCAAGCCCTGGGAATAATGCTTTGTAGTTCTCAGCTCTACCCTCTCGGTCTTCAGCCCCACCCTCTGAGTCCTCCTTCCTATTCCATAAAGGTTAATTTATGTTTGCAAACTCAGTAGTTTCATAAGCCTATTTCCTGCCTGCAGAATTTCAGGAATCCAACAGCCTTCTTCCATTTTGTCTTCTGTCCCTTTAAGTCCAAGCTACCAAAGTCTCTGCTAATAAACCATTCGTGAAAACACACTGTGGGTCTCCCAGGTATGTCACAAGAACTTCCTGGATAATCCCAACTCTGAATCTCATCTCAGCATAATTCATCTCATCATAATTCAGATTTGCTTAATCTCTTCAAAGAGCCCTCTGTGTGGTTGAATAATCTCAGTTTTTGATCCTCCTGAGGCACTAAAAACAAGTTACCTAGCCATGTTTTCAGCTTTCTCTCTAAGTACACTCCTTGACAGTGAATCTACACATTTCAGTGTTTTTTGCGATCTGGATAGATTGAGAATGTTCCAACCATCAAGTCCTGGTTTCTTTTTGCTTAAACGTTCTTCCCGCAATTTATCTCTTTCCTCCTCTCACATTTCAGTATAGGTAACAAGAGGAAACCAGGCCACACCTCCAACACTTTATCTAGAAATCTACTCAGCCAAATATCCAAGCTCATTACCTACTAGATCTGCTTTGCACATAACCATAGAACATAATTCCTCTAGACTATCTGCTATTATATAGCAAGTATGTCCTTTCCTCCGGTTTTCAATAACATGTTTCTCATTTATTTCTGAGTCCTTACCAGAAGCAACTTTAACATTCATATGTTTATTAACATTCTCTCTACAATAATTTAGGTATTCTCTAAGATCGTACAAGTTCTCTCTACCATTTCCCCCACTTTCTTCTGAACCCTTACAGTAGTGACTTTAACATTCATGTTTGTATAAATATTACGTTTATGATAATTAGGTAATCTCTAAGACAATACAGGTTTTCTCTACTACATCACTTCTTTCTGAGCCCTTACTAGCAGAATCTTTAACATCCATATTTCTGTTCAAGGCAATCTAAGCTTTTTCTATCACGCTCCTCAAAATTCTTCTAGTTTCTACCCAATGCCCAATTCCAAAGCCATTTCTGTATTTTTATGCATCTGTTACAGTAGCACTCCACTTCCAGGTACCAAAATGTGGAATAGTTTCCTAGGGCTACCATTACAAATTACCATAAACTTAGTTGCTTATAACAACACAAATTTATTCTCTCGTAGTTCTCAAGGTCAAAGTCTAAAATGATTCTCTCTGGGCTAAAGTTAAGGTGTTGTAGGGCTATCTCCTTCTGGAGGCTCAAGGGGAAAATTCACTTCCTGTTTTTTCAGCTTCCAGAGGCCTCTTGCATTCCTTTGGTCCATGGCTGCATCACTCTGACCTCTACTTCCACCATCACATGTCTTCCGACTCTGACCCTCCTGCTTTTCTCTTACAAAAACCACTGTGATTACAACGGCTCCACCATGTAATCCAGATAACATCCACAATTCAAGATCCTAAACTGAAGCACATCTGCAAAGTTCCTCTGCCACATATGGAAATATATTCACAGGTTGTGGAGATTAGAATGTAAATATCTTTCAGGGGAATTATTCTGTATACCACAGCCATGTTCATTATTAACTGATTTCTGTTTAAAATATTTGACCCATACTTTCAATTGCATAGTTATAAGTACTAACCCCACTGATTGCCTATCTTACTGAACTAATATCTTGCCATTTCCACATTTCAAATGTTGGTTCTTTTAAAAGTTTTGGGAAGAAAAAATTTAGAAAGAGAATAAAACTATATATTGAATTAAACAATTCCCAGAGCAGTTATATGAATAATATCTCAATTCATTATTATGGTTCAGAGTATTTCCAAAGTATGTAGTAGTTTTATTGTAGGGGGAGAGGGAAAAAGCTAAAGCCCTATCATAAGACCATAACTATTCTGATGTTGAAAGATAGCTCAGGGGTCGTCTCCATTTCAAGGCTGAGAAAAATAAGCCCCAGAGAGGTTAAATTATTAACCCAATGACACAAACTCCAATAGAGAGGAGACAGCATATAAATTTATTTTAATATCTAATGACTAACTATATAGAAATCTGATTTAACAGCAAACACATAGAAAGCTGCTGCATTTTCATTAAAGGAATTTCTTAATCTCAAGTTCAGGTAGTTTTTTATTTAGCTATCTGAGCTTTCAGGTAGTTTTTTATTTAGCTATCTGAGCTTCTCAAGTCTTGAGGCAAATGCTAAAAAGGTGGTTTTCTAAACAGCTAGAGGAATTTCAGACAAACCCCATCAAATTCATTAAAATAGATATTTGCCAGAATGCTACATAGGATGGTTATCAAGCCAAATGAAAGAGGTTCCACTGTTGTCAGTCTACTGACTGGTGTGGAAAATCCAAACGTCTATAGGCTCTACAAGTAATGTAGTTTCTGGCTTCCTTGGAGACCAGTGCTCTAATGGAACCCTAAGACAAATATCTTGTCATATATGTGTATAGCATGAAAGAGCTTTTTAAAAAATCAGTAAAAAAAGCACTTAAGTTAAATTTTGCTGTGTCCAATACTACCTATCCAGTTGTCCCTTACGAAAAACACCAGAACCACCTGGATACTTTTAAAATGTTAATTTACTAAATATGTATTTGGTGGCTTGGTTTTTGCCAATTACAAGATAAGTAACATAGACTTGAAGTGGAAGTTAAGATATAAAGACTTTAGGAAGGCCAGTAAAAAGTGCTATTGATATGTGAATAGGCATCTCAATAAATAAAATAAAAATACTCCAAGTATCCAAAATAATCACACATTTCAATAAGAAAGGAAGAAATTATGTTTGCATTGACTTTTACAACTAAAGACTCAAGTGGGCTGGGCACGGCGGCTCACACCTGTAATCCCAGCACTTTGGGAGGCCGAGGTGGGCGAATCACGAGGTCAGGAGTTTAAGACCAGCCTGGGCAATATGGTAAAACCCAATATGGTAAAACCCTGTCTCTACTAAAAATACAAATTAGCCTGGCATGGTGGCGTGTGCCTGTAGTCCCAGTTACTCAGAAGGTTGAGGCAGGAGAATCACTTGAACCCAGGAGGCAGAGATTGCAGTGAGCCAAGACCTCGCCACTAACTCTAGTCTGGGTGGCAGAGTAAGACTCCATCTCAAAAAAAAAAAAAAGCTCAACTATGGCTATGTCTGTGTGTGTGTGTGTGTGTGTGTGTGTGTGTGTGTGTGTGTGTGTTCATATGGGTTATTATGTGGATTGTTTTCAATAAAGATATTATAATCTTATTAAATTGATAATATTTACAATACCTGGCAAAATTCTTTAGAGCTTTTTTTTTTTCAATACAATCTGATGGTAAAGAATAGAGCATAAATGTGATGTTTAAGGCTCTTTTCACTCCATAGCCAGGGTACATATGTCTAGGTAAAAGCTTAAAAATTGCATCAACAGTTTGAGGGTGAGTCAAAACATAAAATTTATCATGGCTGTAGAAACAGAAAAAAAAATTGCTAATAAAATAGCTTTTTACCCTGGTAACAGAAATAAACTTCCCAATAAAAATAGAAATTATAAAGAAAATGAAAGTTACATCTAAGAACTTTAAACATTTCACTAAACATAATTCCATACCCACAAACACATACACATGGTCTTACATAAATTGAATCTCACCTATACTATGAGTTTGAAATCAGTTTTTCTCTTTTTCTTTAAGAAAAAAAAAAAAGGTTAGGGATATCTTTTCATGTCAATAAATAAGAAAACCACATAATCATTTTTAGGGCTGTAGACTGTCCCATCACAGAAGGCTCCATAATTTATTTCAGCAATCCCCTATTGTAAGACACTAATGCTGTTTATAATTTTTTACTCTACAATAAACATTGATAAACATCCTGTACTAATGTGTTTACCAATGTATTCAATTCTCTCTTTAAAATAAATGTCTACAACTAGAGGAGCTGGATAAAAGAGTTGACAGAGAATGTATATTAAAGTCTTGCTTCTCACAGAGAATTTACCTCTAACCTTTTTGAAAGCAAGTTGCCAGAATGCATTAAGGTCCCCAGATGGGTGGAGGGTCGGGGAGAGTGGCCTGCTGAGCTGTGGAGAGTGGTGGGGCTGAGGGTGGGGTGGAGAGGGTGGTGTCCCTGCCCTGAGGTAGGGGCTGTTGGGTGACAGAAACAAAGGGGTGTGTGATGGGGCAGGTCACAATGGGTAGAGGAGGATAAAAGTGGTCCTGCAGGGTGGTTTAGCAGCAGCGGATGGTTCAGGTTGGGAAGAAGAGCAGTGGGACTGCCAGTTCAGGTTGTGGAATCACAGAGCAAAGGCTGTTGTGAAGTGGAATATCAGGCTCAAATGGAAGTCCCTCCCAAATGAGCACTGACATCTGTGTGCCTGGACATCCACGAGGGCTCCAACATCTGCGCTCCTGACAGCTCCATGCACTAAACAGGGCACAGTCTGGATCCAGGGGACCAACTGTCTCTGGCATTGAGCAGTTGGCAACCAATACCCCACCCTGTTCTGAGTCATTTGGGTACAAAAAAGAAAGCCTGTAGAACACGACTGCTGGCCCACCTGCCAGAGTGGCCAAGGAAACAGGATGCTCACTAAGGCATGTTAAGGAAGGTGTGGAGCAGCTTCTGGGAACTGTCTTGATAAAAGAAAGACATGGAGGAGCAGTGTATGTTACCGTATTACACTGCCCAAAGCAGCCCCGCAATGGGCATGTTTAATACCTCCATGGGGAAGCTTCAGCGGCAACTGTACAAAGGCGAGTATACTATATTCAGGTATGCACCCATGTTTGAGAGCGACTTTATCCAGATCAGCAAAAGAGGAGAAGTGATGGATGTGCACAACCGTGCCCGAATGGTAACAGTGGGCATTGTTCGCACCAGCCCCTGCCTCACACTACCTGATGTCATGCTGCTGGCCCGACCAGCTGCTGTCTGTGACAACGCCAGGTGTGGTCCTGCCACCCAGAAAACAGATAGTCCGCCTGCAGAGATCTTAGAACTAACCAGACTGCTTCCCTTGATGTTTGTGAAAATAACCATCCACAACAGCATAAAAAAACAGCTCCACCTGAAGCTTGCCACTGGCCGCTCTTTTTATCTTCAGCTGTGTTCCCCCTCAGATGCAAGTGAAGACCTTTTTGTTCACTGGGAAAACCTTGTTTACATCCTGAGACCACCAGTGGAGGCTTACAGTGGTACCAAAGCTATCCTAGCTGGGAGCACATCAGACTCATCTGTGTTTGAGGAAGTGCAGAGAAGCCCAGTGGTGAGTCTATGCAGAGACTAGATGGGGCCAGGATGCTTTTGGGGAGAGCAGGTAAAAGTCCTGTAGAGCCTTTGGTGTTGCAGCTCACCTGGGAAATGCATTGCATTTGGAAGGTCTGAAGGCCAAATGAGCTTCCATTTGGAGGCCATGGCACATTGAGGAGGTTCCTAGTGCTTCTCCAGTGTTCCCCAAACCTGAATTTCAGAGATTTCTTAGCTGTCAGCAACTTTTCATTTTATATTCACAGCTGTTCATTCTATATCCAATGTTGTAATGCTATCCAAAGCATCCTGACCAGTCTATTCTGAAACCCATACTATGACCTAGGTAGGCTGATATGTTGTAGGACATGTCTCCCTGCGACTGCCACTTATATACATTGGTGGCAACACAACATGCTTGTGTACATGTGCAATACTTTATTTTTGTTGTTTACCTATAGGAAAAGAAAGGAGATCTTGCTGGTCTCACTTTCTTTGCTTATTTGTTTTCTCCCTAGGGATATGCCATGAAGTTCTGTGAAGAGAAGGAGCAATTCAGAATCAGTAGACTTCACATGAATGCTGAAATGTTTGGGTCCACCTATTATGATTATACAATAGAGATATGAATCCAACATACCTCCCACATATACTACATTCAAGAGTTCACACATTCCTGCAGTCATAAAACCTATAGTGCCTGATAAAGGGGCAGGGTGGCAACAACAGTAGTGATGACAGTAAGCACCACCGCAGGTGCCATGGATGTGGCTGCAACCAAGTCTGCAGGCTCAGAAGAGAAACACAGCACTGGCAAAAGCAGCCTTCAAAGGTCCAGGAGGAAGTATAGCCAGCATGGCTATACTGGGTGCTTCTATGTCTTAATCTTGTTATAGCAAGGGCTGCATAGAGATTCTTGTCCTAAAAGGGTACTTCAAGCACATCAGTAAGTGCTACTGGCCTCTCCCTAGAGAGCAGCATGAATGTGGTGACTACAGGAGCAGAGAGAGACTGTCAATGCAACAGCCTTGTCAGTCTCTCTCTGCTCCTCAAAGACCGACTCTCTGCCACTCAGCATTGGGAGTCAGTATCTCAACTCTGCAGGATGAGGCCACATGAGTGAATGGGATGGAAGTCAGAGGGTCTCTACCTAGCTGGATTGACTCTGCAGTAATAACCTCAAAGTCTGATACTACACATGGTGCAGAGGTGGACATCTCACCTAAGACTGTGGAGGGGAGCAACATGATTCACCATAATAAAATCCACCAACTCATATTATCTGCTCTAATAACATATGCTCTATTGACAGGAAGGGTAGCAATAAAACTAATAGCAATTTATGATCAGGCTCTGAAAACTATCTTTAACTTTCCCTTAACTTTACATTTTTTATTATGAAAAATAAATAGATGACATAAAATTAATAGATGACAGAATAAAATGTTGAAGATTACTCTCAAAGATATGATCCTACATCAGAAGAATTCTTCTAAAACTATTTTCCAAAATATAAAATGAGAACCCAGAAACACACACACACTCTGTCTCCCTCTCTCTTTCTCTCTCTTGCTCCAGGTTTGAATCATAGCATTGCCACACATTAACTGTGACCTTTAGTAGACTGTTTCTTTAAATGGTCACCTTGAGATTACACATGTATAATATCTGGTACATAGTAGGCACTGTGTAAATGGTGGTGTTGAGAAACAAATTCTGAATTTAATCATACTTTCCAGAAAGGGCTTAATTTTCCCAGTCTTTTCACTCTTGATTTCCTTTCTTAAATCTTAATTAACTGCTTTGCAATTGTCCCATAAAAGCTCTATTTACAGTAAATCTTCTTAGTATCTTCCCAAGAATTTTAATCCCCTGATATTATTTAGAATTCTAAATTTTCATGAATTTGTACAAACTTCAATCTAGTCACAACAGAAAGACAATTTCAAAGCACTCATCTTTTAGCTGATTCTCTCCAATTTTACTATTCTTGGAGACAGAAAAATAAAACAACACCTAATATAGGATCAATTCATAATCTGGAAAAAAACTGGAAATTAGATAATTTTAGAATTGTAAGATCCACATCCACGGGATTAGCCAATATTCTAATTTTGCAAGTAAAAAATCTGCTTTAGTCTAAAGTAATAACTCATATGGTTTGATAATCCAGAACCAGAATGTATAGGCAACCTGGCCCCCAATTAAGTCTGTATTGTTTCCGTAATACTAATGTTTCTGATGAGCACTATGCTTTGAATATAAAAGATATTTGATACATGTTTGCTGGATCCAATCAAAGGCTCTAAATGCGAAATATAATTTATTCCAATCCAACAAATCTGGGGATATAAAATTTTACATAGTACTGTACTAATGGTACAGATTCCAAAGGTTCCTGTATATATTGTAAGGGAGCAGTTTACCAGTAGACCCTCACAGCGCTTATGGCTTAATGATTTTTAATGGTCTCCAAAAGTGCTTCAGACCCGAAAAAATGGCTTCAAAATATGAAAAACATTTCACAGGTTAGATGTTCTAGCTTTGTGAATTTCAAGGTTACATTACTGAGAAATCACATCTAATCATAAATCACTTTTCAGCAAATAATGTCAAATGAAAAACTTTTTAAAATAAAACAATTTTTGTTGTTCATGTGGTATGTAGTCCAGTATCATATGATACTGGAGACTCCCTAAGAGGCTTTAAAATGAACATATTGCCAACTCTTAACAGAGACCAACTTTATCTTTGTATTCAAGGACTGTCAGCATGCTTACCACATTGTAGTACCTTGATAATCACAGAAGGGATCATTGCTAAAAGCACTGCACATTTTGTATCTCTTCTCTAAATCTTCAATCTGACTCAGTCTCTTTTTAAATTGTATATTCCTTTGGTAAATATTTCAATCTGCTTCTCATTACAAATCGTGATGCTTATTACCATCAATCAGATCCTGTTCCTAGGTAACAGTTTTCTTAAAATTCTAAAACAATACATATCCTGGTACCTCATCTCTTGTAATCAAAGTTTAAGAGATAATTTAGATGATACTTATAATAACAGAAAAATATTTAAAAATTACCATTTGTCAATGGTTGAGATGGTTGAATCCTAGGTAATAAACTAAAAAACCAGATGAATTCAAAAATGTTGCAAATTGTGTACGTGTGTATGTGTATACAATATATATGTAAAAATATACTATATATACACACAGAAATATGCTATATATAGTATATTTTAATTGCAAAACTATAAAAATTCTTTAATATATTTTGCAATAAAACATATATAAACATCTTATATATACATAAAACATGTTTATATGTGTATATATATACACACATATGCACACACAAATATAAATGCTAAAGGATAGCCCTTAAACAATAATATTCAGAGACACACACACACATTCTTAAGAATTTATAGTGAGTGGCTGGGCGCAGTGGCTCACGACTATAATCCCAGCACTTTGGGAAGCCAAGGTGGGCAGATCACCTGAGGCCAGGAGTTTGAGACAAGATTGGCCAATATTGTGAAATGCCATCTCTACTAAAAATACAAAAATTAGCCAAGCATAGTGGCACACCCCTGTAATCCCAGCTACTCAGGAAGCTGAGGCAGGAGAATTGCTTGAACCAGGGAGGCAGAGGTTGCAGTGATCCAAGATCGTACCACCGCACGCCAGCCTGGGAAACAGAGCTAGACTCCGTCTGAAAAAAAAAGAAAAATTTATAGTGAGAGAAAGATCAGTAAAATAGTCTTATTGCTGGTTTGTTAGATTAAATTCAGTTAAAAAAAATCTGCATCTCAAATACATTTATAGATTTAATGCAGTAACAATCAAAATCCCAATAGAGATACTTTTTAAACTCAACATAGTAATTACAAAATACAGATTTTATAAAGCAAGCAATCAAGTCAGCTACTAGTTTTAATTTAATAATGAATAATATCAACACTGAGTCATGTGGTTTAAAAAGTAGAAAGGCAGAAGTAAACAAGCCTTCAGAAGTAAAGCCAAAACAAAGGGATAAAAACGAGAGGAATGTGAGTTATTGTTCAATGGAAAGTCATAGGAAACTATGTATCAACAAGCAAAAAATAATATAGAGCCATAATTGAAATTTATGTTAAAGGGAGTTCTAGATAAGACGAATTAAATGAAAAATAGAACTGAGAAGCTTAATCAATTGGATAGTTTTTAAAAATTACATGATGCACTTGTACACATACAAATTAAGACAAAAAGAAAGCTGCAGACTGGAAAAGATTTTGTGGTAAATGTAACTAGAACATCTTAGGAATTAATAAACTTATTGAACAATACCAGTCTTCACCAAGGAAATGGCCAAAGGGAAAACAAATCTAATATTAAAAATTGTAAACCAAAAGCAAGTTACTACCAAGCCTAATAAAATGTTAGTAAGGTGGTAGAAAATCAGATACAGTCATATTGTTGACAGTTTTTGATTTGCAGTCATCTGGCCATTACAGTAAATACCCTGATACTTTATTTTGTTTCAGTAATTCTTTTTAAGATATAAGGTAAAGTAGTGGTTAGGAAATGCATTTGTACAAACACAGTTTTATGAGGGGAAAAATAGGTTAAAACATTTAATTATTGATAAACTGCTAAGCAGATAAGGGTAAGCTAATAAAATACAACATATGCTTGTTAATTTTCTTTCCCTTTACCCATGTAGATATGAGGTAAAAAAACTACATGTAAAATCTTTAAGTGAAGACATGACACCCTAGAATATACACATTTGTTCACTGAGATTCATTCAACTATTACTTCATTCCAATTATATTTTGGGTGTTTTTTGTTTGTTTGTTTTATATACATCAGATTTTGCTTGATAAAGAAGACTTTTTTCTTCTGTTTTCTTTTTTTTATTTTCTTTCTTTCTTTCTTTCTTTTTTTTTTTTTTTTTTGAGACAGGATCTCACTCTATCACCCAAGCTGGAATGCTGTGGTGTGATCACAGCTCACTGCAGCCTCAACCTCCCATCTCAGCCTCCTGACTGGCCAGGGCTACAGATGTACACTACCACGCCTGGCTTATTTTTGTATTTTTGGTAGAGATAAGGTCTCACTATGTTGCCCAGGCTCGTCTTGAACTGCTGGGCTCAAGCAATCCACCTACCTTGGCCTCCCAGTGCTGGGATTACAGGTGTGAGACACCACATCCAACGCATTCTTCTGATTTGCCAGGAACTACTCGTTAGACTGCAGATGCTGAGCATCAAAGTTTGAATCTCTACCTTTATGGAACTCACAGTTTAGTATGTATTGACAACAATTCTGTAAAGGTTACAGTAAACTGTCTTAAAGTCCTATGAAGAGATTTTTTAAGTACTATATACTGATTTGAATATTCTACTTTGCTTTCTACAATAAATTAATACTGAAATTTGAGTGGCTATGATCAAACTATGATACAGACATATGGAAGATGTGATGGTTTCTTAGACATAATTGCTTTGTATTTGTTGTGACAGAAGAGAAAATATCTTTGAGATGTAACGCTTTTCTGGATAAGTACTGTGAATCCTTTTCTGTCGTGGACTGTTTTTGCCACCCACATTCTATGTAATTAACCTCTTACCATTATACCCTTTCATATTAAGTTATTTACTTATTGTGCAGAGACGTTTTCACCATGACTTCAAATTTCCTATCTCTGGAATATTTTAGCCATTTCTGAAACTCCTCTAAGGGTATATGATTCACAACATTCAACAGGAACCTGAAGGTGATACTATAGAATTAAAGTAGACTTAATGATATGAAATGACTTGAAACTAATAGTCAATATTTTAGTGTTCCGTTTTCATTTTTGGATTTTATTCCAAAACCTTCAGAAATACACATTCACATTATTCTACAATGTTCCATTGTGATGAGAAAAATATAATCACTGGTTATGCTTTTAAAGAGCCATAATATGTTTCCTTATAACTGTAGATAACTTTTAGTTACTTTTTTAAAATAGCATTCTTTAAAATGATATATTTCTGGATTCAAAATATTAAAACCTCATAAACAAGACAACTTTTCTGCATTATAACCAAACTAAATAATATTAATTTTTTACATAAATTATGTCTCCGCATATGCACACATCTACACACTAAGTTATACGCACATTTTACTTGAGACTTTGAGAAAAACCACGAAGTAAACAAGATCCTAATTTGATTTTTGAAGGGGAGGGAGATTTTAACTTAAAAACATAGGCAACCATTTTTGTTTTATTGTACCTTAATAAAAGCAAACTTTTACCTGTGCAAGCATGGGGAAGCCAAGGTTCCTACATCCATTACATGGAGTTAATGCTTCCCAAAGTCCTGATGGCCCACACGTATTTTCATCATCATCCTCTTCTTCCACTTCTCCTGGTGACAAATTGATTGTAGATGAGGTTCTCTGAAATTAAATTTATATCATATCAATATATTATATCAATGATATTTAGATATCTTAACACCAATTAAATTCTATAAATGACACGTGGTATATCTTGGTAAACAAGTCAGTTCACTTTTAACCATAGTTACATGGCTGTGCCCTGTGACTGAGACAAAAATATGTATAGTCCAACTTAAGTTAAAAGTGAAAAAACTGGGTGTGAAAGGCTTATGAAATAATATATGAAGTTCATAATGAAGAATAGAACATGATAATGGCCTAATTAAATATTTGAATAGCAACAAATGAGAAAAATCTTATGGTTTATCGAGAATTTAGGTTTAGGCATAAAATTAAGGAAAAATCAGGGCACTAACAGGAAAATATTTTACTGAAATGGGAATTCCTGATAAACCTGTTTGTTCAGAATGCCACCAAAATAAAACTTCATAAAATTTTATATCATACATATAAAAGGGGTAACAGTTTTAAAATTCATAATGAGACTTCCATATTGAGCACATATATTTTCCTTTGTTATCTCCCAAATCTCACTAAAATGATGGTAGAACATTTATAAAAATGTTTACATCATAAAAATAAGAATGACAGGAGAGATGAACAAACAATATTAAGAAAACTTCTGGATAATGTTGGGTAACTTTTGGATCACAGGTGGGTAAGTATTACCTGACTTAGCAAACATGAGAACACTGAAAGCAAAGTACCTTCATGTGGAAAGAATTGGAAGGACTGGCTACCTGTGAAGGTATAAGTGTCAGTAGGGCAGACACAGAATGAAACTCAATATCAGAAAGAATTATACCCCTAGACCCATCTCCTTTTCACCCAGCCAGGAAACTAAATCTTCACCACTGGCAAGAAATTAGAGGTTTATTTTTCTGGAGAAGTTGAAGCAAAAGAATTATGAATTCTAAGAGTATAGATACACCGAGTCTCCAAAAACAAGAGAATTAATATCTATATAGTAATGAAGATCCATAACCTACTCAGTGCCTTACCATATTTGCATTAGACAACATGGCAGCAAGGTTTATACCCCCAGATAAACAACTAGAATACTCTTCTCTGTAGAAACAGACCTCCCAAGAAAAAAGATCTATAAATAAGCAGGAAAATGGTGGGATCTATGTATTAGTCTCTACTGTGACGACAACCTCTCAGCAAGTTCCACTCATAAGAATCATATATTTGAGAAAAACCTCTAACAGACACCAAAATAAATATAGAGAAAAAAATTATAAATAGTATCTTCAGAGAGAAGATATTTATAGCCATGAAACAAGAACAGAAAGTTATGAAATACATAAAATCCAATACAAGAGTTAGAAAAATCTGACAAAATTTCTGAAAAGATGAAAAGAATTTAAAAGGGGAGAAAACTAGGGGTCAAACCAAGACCTCTAACATCTGAACAACAGGAGCTCCAAAAATTAAGAGTAGAGATGGGAGGGTCAAATAAATAAAGCATGAAAATTTGCAGAAACTGAGGAAAAATTTCATACTCTAAGAGCCTGTTGAATACTTAGCAGACTGAATTTTTTTAAAAAAGTTGTATATACATAAATAAAAAGAAATACAATAAATAGTCTAAAGGCCCTCTGAATGTACTGTTCAGAACAACATTGATAGATCATGATTACTAAAGCAAGTAAATATATTCTACATATTGGATTGTAAATAGCATCCTGCCCCCAAAATCTGCTTTTAAAAATAGAATATAAGATTTTATTTTTCCTCCTATTTAAAAGAATTTGCTTTCTGCATTCACATTTTAACTTTCCCTTGATCACTTGTCAGTAACTAAGAAGCAATGAAATTAAGTTGCCCCCCAATCAGTCACTGTCTGTAAAACACAATAATAATAATAATAACAACTGTTAGGCTGAGAACTTACAATGTGACTTGGAGTATCACTGGCCTATTGTCTGTTAACTATTTTAATTCACACAGCAGCCATTTCAGGCAAATATTTTTCCTCTCACTTTATAAATGAGGAAACCAAGGGCCAGAGAGATCAAGGAAAACCCAAGGTCACGAAGCTGGCAAGTGGTAGAAAAAGGATTTGAATCCAGACTAGGGGGCTGCAAAGCCTACTCTCCCCTCACCACTATGTTCTGTGACCACTCCTTTGGCACAATACCCTGTAAAAGACAATATACTGAAAAACCACACTGATGTAAATAATTGCAGTTTAAATAAAAGAGGTATATTTGGTGAATATGTTTCTGTTACACAAGTATACTTCTGAGAGCATTTTGCCTTCTGTGACAGGGAGTGAAAATTTCTGCAATTTGATACATAGTGGCCCATGCTTTCATAAATACTTCTCAAATCAATAATAGAAGGTAATTATCACAGGGATATTTGACCCTACAGATCCTTTGAGTAAAATATATATATATAGGGAAGTTTAAAATCTTAATCTGAAAGAGTGTGTGTGTGTGTGTGTGTGTGTGTGTATACATATATATATATTTGATAAAGTTGTTGACAGGAATAGATAAGATGATCAAAAAGGTATCTCCTTTACCAACTCATGATCAGCTAACAGTTTGACCATCAACATTGATAGCTGGCCAAGAATTGTCAACATTTTAGATTAATCCATTCTTTTCTATTTTGTTAATGGTGCTACAATGATTTAATCCAATCACACAGGGAACTTCCTCTATCTCTTTCTCCCTCAAAAAAAAAAAAAAAAAAAAGTTTATTTCTCTTACCTGCTCATAAAGCTCCAACTATTTCCCATTTCACAGCAAATGATATCCAAATTCCTTAATCTGGCTTCAAGGTTCTATAGTCAAATGATTTTTTAGCCCTTTTACTTTTCCACTACACTCACCTCAAATTATAACCAGGTGGAATTGTTTACCCTTGCCTAATCATGCTCTATGCTTTCATTCTTTCTTTCACCTTACTTGTCTGCATAGCATATTGTAGTGGTTAAGGGTCTGGGCTCTAAAATTAGACAGTTCTGGATTCAAGTTCCAAATATCCCCCTCACTAGCTGTATGATTTTCACCAGATAAGACCATTGTCAGCCTCCCTTGCCTTATCAATGCAATGGAAAACAATACAGTGGAACCTCTCTCAGGGCTTATTCCTGATGACTAAGTGAGGTAATAAATATAAAGTGCCTGATACATACAGCTTCAATAAGTATTAACTATCATTTTTATTATTTTCTTATAATCCCACTGATCCAAAATAGAGTTCAGATTTCGTCCCTTACCTAAAATTTTCCAGATTTCCCACAAACATGCATGATATCACGTTCTTCTGCTTGTCTCTAGCTCTTTGTGCAAGTGTTTGCATTTGGTATTTCAGATACCTTGAGTTGATAGATGCTATAGTGACAAAGAGCATTGCCTTTTAACTCAAACAGATATACATTTAAATCCTAGCTCTACCACTTCCAAGCTTTGTGACTTTGAGCAAATCACATAATCTTATTAATCCTTAGTTTCCCTATCTGAAAACATAGTGTAATAATATCTATTTGCAGGGCTATATGAAGATAACATTAATTGCTTGACAGAGACTGGCACATAACAATCAGTAAGTACTGTTATTTTATTTTTTACCCTAAAAGAGTTGTATACACACACACACTGTGTGCTTGTGCAAATACAGTACACAGACACAAGTGTGGCTAATTTACCCTTGTTAAGTAAGTTATTTGAAAGAAAACATTGCCTTATTCACATTGTATCTCCTACAATGTGCTGTGCATAATGAAGCAATAAATATTTATTGAATGAATCACTGAATAAATGAGCTTCAAATTATCATTTTCATTTGACTACCTAGAAAAATTTACTAATATTAAGGGGTGTGTATAATTGTATCACAAATATCAAGATTGCCATTTTAGCTTTATTTTATATTAACTATTACCAGTAGCTTTAGCAGAAATGAAGAAACGTATCAGTGGTTTAGCACTGCCCCCTAAAGACAGCATATAAATTGGCTGTGTAAAATCATAATTTTTACTTCATTTCTTTACAGTTAAAGATTTGAAGGAAAATATTTTATCAAGCTACATAATCTTCAATTATATATGGGAAGAAGCCACCAGAACACACTTAACCTCAGATGGTTTCCTTTATTCCAAATGCTGTTCAAACTTTTCACAGGAGAACAAAGTGTGTTCCTGAAGTTCCAAGAAGATGTGAAAATTCTGCTATAAAAAATAGACCTAAATCTATATAGTTTGAATCCATTTGCTTTGTTGGTTATTACATGGTAATAAAGGAAGGCTGGACCAAGTCTATGTTGTCGTAAACTGAAAAACAGTCACAATAATATACTGTGGGGAGAAAAACTTGAGCTCAATCAAAGAAAAACACTTTTGAGAATAATTACATCAGTCTAACATTGAAGAAATGGAATTTCCCTGTGAGGTAGTATGTATGTGTGTGTGTGTGTGTGTAAATTATATGACAATGATAGATAATGGTGCTCCATAATTTATAAAATGCTTTCAGATATAGAATAGCCCAATAAAATAGAGTCAGAATTATCCCTATTTTACAAGTATAAAAAACTGATGCTCAAAATGTTACTCGATTTGCAAGATCATCCTACAAATGAGTCCAGATTATAATCCAAGTCCTCTAATTCTAGGTCCTTTTGTCTTTCTACCACACCATGGAAGCCATCTCCTTAATTAGTAGAACTCTTAAAGGGGACAACAGATGTTCAAGATTGTCAATGCAAAGGGACCAGGCCAAAAGAATCCAGGAAAGAGGAAATAACAGAAATGGTGATCTGATCAAAGCAAAAGGCAACAATCTGGGATGAGTTAGCAATCTAGACTACTTTATAGCATTGCCTCAGGCCTTTTTTTGCCTTTGTTTTCTAAAGTAAAATTGACTTATAGATTTTTCAAGGAAATTTAAAGTAACACATGCTTATTGTAAAACAAATCATTCAAAATAAAAAATTATACATGAGAGAGTGAAACTTTCCTAGCCTCGGTCCCACTGCAAACA